AAAGGAAAAAGCTGTTGCTGCAGCTGCATTCTTTTTCCAGAGAACCCATAATGCTTTTCAAAACCAACTACTCTGTATTAAATGTTTATTTCTACTGAGGACCCATTTAGATCCATGTGAGGTGCATTTTTGTACTGTTAGCTAGGTGTACTGTTATGCATCTGAATTTATTTCCTTTGTGCGTTGACGTGCTTTGAGGCTTGTTGGTATGCAATTTCAAAGGATTTTTTCATTTAAAATTTGGAGTGGTTAGAGTTAACATCCATTAACCATTGCTTGTTAATATGTGTTGCCAATGCACCAAAGTGTGTGTTGTATTCATTTTGATGCACTGCTCTGATTTCTATGGACCTTTCAAAGCATTACAATGCGGAAAAAAATAGACATTATATTTTTCAAAATGCACTGCAGTGCTGAGATGGAACATACAATTTTATGCATTTTAGCATGTTACAATGTGTGTTTTAGAATGCAACCATTTAAATAAGTCCTGAATGTTTATTTCTCTTAGAGTCAAGGAGTCTGCTGTGTCTCTTAAAGTGACTCTGTTATTTAAAATAAAGTTTGTAAAAAACCTGTTTGCAAAAGAAGACTCTTAAGACCTTACCCAGGAGTCCTCACTTCACTTTCTTCTAAAACCTCCAGAAGAATCTGCAGCAGCTAACATGTCTAAATATGTTGGATGCTTGGTCCTCTATTGCACATTGTGGTTCCCAATGATGATCCCTACATTGTTATAGGACACAGTAATGATATACAGTTGTGTCCAAAATTATTCAACCCCCACTGAAATTGAGTGTTTTGGCCAGTTTGACATTGCTTTTGATCATTCAGTCATCTTGCTTACATTTACATTAAAGAGGCACTTGTAGGTCAGACAAATATAACATAACAGTTATAATGAAATAACCACAAATGTCTTTTCTGTGCTCACAGCATTATCAGTTTTATTCAACCCCCAAGTGACATTCAATCTTAGTACTTAGTACAGCATCCTTTTACAGTTATAACAGCTTTTAAACGTGAAGCATAGCTTGACACAAGTGTCTTGCAGCGATCTACGGGTATCTTCGCCCATTCTTCATGGGCAAAGGCCTCCAGTTCAGTCACATTCTTAGGCTTGCGCACTGCAACTGCTTTCTTTAAGTCCCACCAGAGGTTCTCAATCGGATTTAAGTCTGGTGACTGCGATGGCCACTCCAAAATGTTCCAGCCTTTCCTCTGCAACCATGCTCTAGTGGACTTGGAGGTATGCTTGGGATCATTGTCCTGTTGAAAGGTCCAACGTCTCCCAAGCCTCAGGTGTGTGACGGACTGCATCACGTTTCCATCCAATATCTCCTGGTACTGAAGAGAATTCATGGTACCTTGCACACGCTGAAGCTTCCCTGTACCTGCAGAAGCAAAACAGCCCCAAAGCATGATTGACCCTCCACCATGCTTCACAGTAGGCAAGGTGTTCTTTTCATCATAGGCCTTGTTCTTCCTCCTCCAAAACATAGCGTTGATCCATGGGCCCAAACAGTTCTAATTTTGTTTCATCAGTCCACAGAACACTATCCCACAACTTTTGTGGTTTGTCCACATGGCTTTTGGCATACTGCAGTCGACTCTTCTTATTCTTTGGAGACAGCAAGGGGGTACGCCTGGGAGTTCTGGCACGGAGGCCTTCATTACGCAGTGTGCGTCTTATTGTCTGGGCTGAAACTTCTGTACCCACATCTGACAAATCTTTTCTCAGTTCCTCAGCAGTCACACGGGGACTTCTCTCCACTCTACGCTTCAGGTAGCGCACAGCAGTCGAAGTCAGCATCTTCTTTCTGCCACGACCAGGTAGCGTTTCAACAGTGCCTTTGCCTTGAATTTGCGAATGATGCTTCCTAAGGTGTCTCTTGGTATGTTTAACATCTTTGCAATCTTCTTATAGCCATTGCCCTTCCTGTGAAGAGAAATCACCTCTTCTCTTGTCTTCCTGGACCATTCTCTTGCCTTCACCATGTTTGTAACCACACCAGTAAATGTCTAGAAGGAGCTGAGTATCACAGTCATTTTAAAGCTGCCTAATTGGTGCTTATTATGCTTGATTGCTGCTCGGTGACATCCACAGGTGTTTTCAATACCTGATGGAAAGCACCTGTATGAACCTCTGTTCTTCAGAGTGGTAGTCTTTAAGGGGTTGAATAATTGTGGCAATGAAGAAACCACATAAGAACCATTTACTACTGTATTACATAAACAATTGATGTCATTTTAGTTGCATTTGGGTAGTTACAACGTCCTTGTAGGATTTGATTTCTGAATACAATTCCAAATGTACACTATAGTCCCTAAACCCTTTTACAGCATTGGGGGTTGAATAATTTTGGACACAACTGTAGGAGTTTGTGGGAGGAACCACAGCATACAATGGGGAAACCTTCATCTGACACACCTGAAATGTGTTAAAAGCGAAGACTGTGCTGAAAGCCAAAGCTCTTGAAGAAAGCAAAGTAAGGACTCACCAAACACCAAAGAGGTTGCAGGCAAGCTGTTAGGTATGGACTGGCCAGCAATGGTGGGACTCACCTACCTTTTGATCTGCAGTACCAGGGCTGGCCAGCGGGTGCTCCCAGCAATCAGAGACTCAACCTTTCAGCCAGCTAACACCTGGAACTGATGATACTGGGGTATTTAAGGGATGGCCAGACTTGCAGACTCTGCCTTGGTGTTGTGTTTGTCCTGGGCCCTGTATCTGTCCTGCATCCTGCATCTGCATCCTGCATCCTGCATCCTGCATCCTGTTTCTGTTCCTTTGCTGACGTTCTCCTGCTCTGATCCTGGCTTGTGACCCTGACCATCCCTCTGTCTGACCCTCTGTACTACGCTGCTTGCTACTGTTCTGATCCCTGGCTTGTGACCCGGACCATCCCTCTGCCTGACCCTCTGTACTATGCTGCTTGCTACCTGCTGAACCTGGCCTGTGACCCCGACCATTCTCCGCTTGCTCCCCCTGTACCTACCTGCCCAATTGATATTGACCCGGCCTGCCTGACGACGCTTGCTTGTATATACTGTTATCTGTGGGTGGTTTGGTTTGTTTGCACCATATTATGTTTTAGTATTGCACTGCGTTTATGTTTGTACTGTTAGTGTTAATAAATTTTATTGTTTATAACATATCTGAGGTCTGCGTTTCCCTGCTTCAGTCACACACCTCTGGTCATACCTGGGAGCCCTGACATTACTCACCAAGGCCAATCCTGACCAGAAGTGGCTGCACAGGGAAGCAATCTTGGCTTGTTGATGGGAAGGATGGATCTTGAGGAGGTTGAGTATTTATATCTGCTAGTGTTTGATGACAGGGAGTATGCTTATCAAACTCTGAAGGAGTATACCCGGGATGAATTGCTAGAATGTATACGGCTCGCTCATGTTCTAGTAGATCAGGGCACAGTATTCTCTGAGGTGCAGCCATTGATTGAGGTTTGTGCAGAGTTGGTTTCATCTGGTTCCCCGAATGCAGGGATGAATTTTTGCCACCATTTTAGTGCAGACCAGGTAGAGTCCCTGGTGCTGTTTTTAGAGGATGATGGGGGTTACTTTCTGGAGCGTTATTCCACATGTTCACCACAGACACTAAGAGATTGTATAAACGCAGTGCAGTCATTGACCAGACAGGCTTGGTGTAAGCTCAGCTTTGTTCAACCCCAGTACTGCAGACATGGACAGATTTGTTGCACCCAGCCTCAGTCAGCTTACAAAGACCCAGTCCTGCTTCTAACTCTACTCCTGTATTCCCACCAGCTCCTCCAGTTACAGCCCAGTATACTTGGCTATCTACCGCATGTCAGTACCCTGTTCCCACTCGCTGCACCTATCCTGCTTTAACCCTGTAAAAAAGCCCTCTGTAGCAACTGCTCCCTCTCCTGTTCCATCCTCCAGTTCCCTTCTCTGTCTCCAGCTGCTCCATTCGTTTGCAGACCTGCGTTTACTTGCAGTGCTCCATAGTTAAAACCAGAAAAAAGCGAAAATTCTTTCCAACCAATACCATCCTGCCAGTATCCAAACCGGTGAGCCTGCCTTCCGTGGTTCAGACTGATGCCTGTACTCGGCCTGATGCCATCCTACTCGGCCTGATGCCTAATTCGGCCTGATGCCTCTACTCGGCCTGATGCCTGTACTCGGCCTGATGCCTGTACTCGGCCTGATGCCTGTACTCGGCCTGATGCCTGTACTCGGCCTGATGCCTCTACTCGGCCTTCTACTCGGCCTGAAGCCTCTACGCGGCCTGAAGCCTCTACGCGGCTGATGAAGCCTCTACGCGGCCTGATGCCTGTACTCGGCCTGATGCCTCTCTTCAGCCTGAAGCCTCTACTCGGCCTGAAGCCTCTACTCGGCCTGAAGCCTCTACTCGGCTGAAGCCTCTACTTCGGCCTAATGCCTCTACCCAGCATGATGAACTGATCCAGCCTGACGATCCTATTAGGCCAGTTGACTCGATGCCCGCTGTTGATCCAGATGAAGTCCGGTACCTGATCCGGTGCCCGCTTGTCGTGCCAATTGGACTCAGAGGCCCGCTGTCGTACCTGGTGACTCGGTGCCCACTGCCTTGCCAGATGACGCGGTGCCCGCTGGCAAGCCAAATGACCTGATGCCTGGTGTCCTAGTGTCCGCTGTCATACCTGATGACCCGAATATATGCCCGCTGTCGAGCCCAGACAATCCGTGTACCTGATGACCGGGTGCCACTGTCGTGCCTGTTGACTCGGAGACCATGCCTTGCCAGATTGACGCGGTTGCCCGCTGTCGAGCCAAATGACCTGATGCTGGTGACCCGATGCCCACTGTCCAGTCAGACGATCCAATGTCTGACCCAGTGCCCTGCGGTCATACCAGTTGGACTCGGAGCCCACTGCCTTGCCAGATGACGCGGTGCCCGCGGTTTCGAGCCAAAATGACCTGATGCCTGGTGACCCGTAGCCAGACATCCAATGTCTGACAGTGCCCGCGGTCATACCAGTTGACTCGGAGCCCACTGCCTTGCCAGATGACGCGGTGCCCGCTGTCGAGCCAAATTGACCTGATGCCTGTGACCCGATGCCCGCTGTCCAGCCAGACCATCCAATGTCTGACCCAGTGCCTGCGGTCATACCAGTTGACTCGGGCCCAATGTCGTGCCTGGTGTCTCGGTGCCCGCCGCTCCGCCTGGGGGCCCGAGACCTGTTGCTCCGCTTGGAGGTCCGGCGCCCGCCGCTCCGCCTGAGGGGCCCGAGACCTGTCGCTCCTCCTGGGGGTCCGGCGCCCGCCGCTCCGCCTGAGGGGCCCGAGACCTGTCGCTCCTCCTGGGGGTCCGGCGCCCGCCGCTCCGCCTGAGGGCCCGAGACCTGTCGCTCCTCCTGGGGGTCCGGCGCCCGCCGCTCCGCCTGAGGGCCCGAACCTGTCGCTCCGCCTGGGGGTCCGGCGCCCGCCGCTCCGCCTGAGGGCCCGAGACCTGTCGCTCCACCTGGGGGTCCGGCGCCCGCCGCTCCGCTGAGGGCCCGAGACCTGTCGCTCCATCTGGGGGTCCGGCGCCCGCCGCTCCGCCTGAGGGCCCGAGACCTGTCGCTCCGCCTGGGGGTCCGGCGCCGCCTGTCGCTCCGCCTGAGGGCCCGAGACCTGTCGCTCCACCTGGGGGTCCGGCGCCCGGCCGCTCCGCCTGAGGGCCCGAGACCTGTCGCTCCTCCTGGGGGTCCGGCGCCCGCCGCTCGCCTGAGGGCCCGAGACCTGTCGCTCCATCTGGAGGTCCGGCGCCCGCCGCTCCGCCTGGGGGCACGATGCCTGTCGCCCCGCCTGGGGGCACGATGCCCGTCGCCCCGCCTGGGGGCCCGATGCCTGTCGCCCCTCCTGGGGGTGCCCGATGCCTGTCGCCCCGCTTGGGGGCCCGTGCCTGTCGCCCCGCCTGGGGGCCCGGTGCCTGTCCCGCCCCGCCTGGGGGCCCGGTGCCTGTCGCCCCGCCTGGGGGCCCGGTGCCTGTCGCCCCGCCCGGGGGCCCGGTGCCTGTCGCCCCGCCCGGGGGCCCGGTGCCTGTCGCCCCGCCCGGGGGGCCCGGTGCCTGTCGCCCCGCCCGGGGGCCCGGAGCCTGTCGCCCCGCCGGGGGCCCGGAGCCTGTCGCCCCGCCCGGGGGCCCGGTTTCTGCTGCTGCCTCGCCTGGTGGCCCTGCTGCCTGCTGCTTCGCCTGGTAAATCGATGTGCCTCTGCCCGGAGTCCTGCCCGATGTGCCTCTGCCCGGAGTCCTGCCAGACCCGGGCGGGGCGGTGGAACATTTTGCCCAGCTAGGACTGTTTGGAGCGTCCTGAGGCCGCTCCTTGAGGGGGGGGGTACTGTTAGGAATGGACTGGCCAGCAATGGTGGGACTCACCTACCTTTTGATCTGCAGTACCAGGGCTGGCCAGCGGGTGTGCTCCCAGCAATCAGAGACTCAACCTTTCAGCCAGCTAACACCTGGAACTGATGATACTGGGGTATTTAAGGGATGGCCAGACTTGCAGACTCTGCCTTGGTGTTGTGTTTGTCCTGGGCCCTGTATCTGTCCTGCATCCTGCATCCTGTTTCTGTTCCTTTGCTGACGTCTCCTGCTCTGATCCTGGCTTGTGACCCTGACCATCCCTCTGTCTGACCCTCTGTACTACGCTGCTTGCTACCTGTTCTGATCCCTGGCTTGTGACCCGGACCATCCCTCTGCCTGACCCTCTGTACTATGCTGCTTGCTACCTGCTGAACCTGGCCTGTGACCCCGACCATTTCTCCGCTTGCTCCCCCTGTACCTACCTGCCCAATTGATATTGACCCCGGCCTGCCTGACGACGCTTGCTTGTATATACTGTTATCTGTGGGTTGGTTTGGTTTGTTTGCACCGTATTATGTTTTTAGTATTGCACTGCGTTTATGTTTGTACTGTTTGTTAATAAATTATATTGTTTATAACATATCTGAGGTCTGCGTTTCCCTGCTTCAGTCACACACCTCTGGTCATACCTGGGAGCCCTGACACAAGCATTTCTTAGAATTTGTTTTTCCAGTCGTTTTGAGGATTTTATGTTCAGAGAGATATAAAACATCAATTTTAGAAATGCAAAAAAATCATAGAAATGAAAATAAAATGTATGTATAGTTAAAGCTTTTTTTTTTTTTTGGAAGAGAGAAAGAGGAAGATAGAGAGGGGAAGGATTAGAATCACTATCAAGTTTTTACTGCTCTCTGTGTACCTGCTAAGCAGATTAACCAACTCTGGCGTCCCTGGTGACCCCATTGTTACCGAGACAGAAGGCAATAGAAAATCCAACATTTTACAGTTTTCACTGGAATGGATGTAGAGGAGAATCTTCCAAAGGGGACACCTGTTTTCCAGTAACAACCCATCTAAGAGGTGTTTTTTCCCTCACATCCTCTCACTCCCAGTTATGTCTCCAGGACAGCAAAGGCAGATAAATCTCCCCAGCAGGACACAGCAAAAAAGAAAATGGCAGGGTTTTTATCCCTCCAGTACTATCCAAAGCTAAACAACAACAACAACAAATGACTATGCAATTAATTTGGTGTCCCTTTATTAAGCCATTGATGCAAATGCCAGTCAAGGTCCAAATCTAATGCTGCAGGATTTCTTTGTAGATACAAGTTTTGTAACTTCATAAAGAAGACCCAATGGCCTGCCACAACAGCAAATGATTGTTATCTAATATATATGAACACCAGTAGTTTTGCTGCTAAAGATGCATGTGCGTGGCATTTTGACAACTGGTGGTACATGCAAGAATGAAACTACCTCTTCCTGACTACCTAAAACTGAATAGAAACATTTTGGCTGGAGTTGACACCCAGGGAATAGGTTTTTCAAGGGTTTTTCCTGTTTTGTTACATTTTGTAACTAAAAATGATATAAAACACATTTTAAGTTGTTTTTTATTATATAACATGGGGAATTTAAAAAAGAACCTTTAATGTGAACTTATGCTAAGGCTATCAACATATTGTATGATATGCATATCCCTCACAAGCAGTAAAGAAGGAGGCCCCAACTGATCTCTGTAGCTGCATGTACTGTGAAGTTATTCATCCTCAAAGATCACAATAGAGATTCTTTTAGACATAATTCAGTCAGTTTCTAATGGCTGACAGTTGCTTGTCTACATTAGAAGACCAGCAGGCCATCAGGTTTATGGTGCCAGAGAGAGGGGCGAGGTGCTGTGATTTCAGTGCCAAAGATTTGAAAATTAAATTTTCCACAGTTCCTGCAGCTACAGAGGCCAGTGATGATTTGTTTAAAAGTCTTGTTACTGCTTGTTACAAATATGTACTTAATTTAATGTCTATAGTTTGAGGATAGGTGCACTTTATAGGATACTAGCACTAAATGTATGCATTTCAGGGTTTATATTAAACTGGTTGGCAGGTGGCAAGGGTACACAGTAAAACTGTTCCTATAAGATATGTACCACCCCTGCCTTGGGCTGGCTACATTTTTTATATTCCTCTTATGTAGCCAGCTGAGCTACAATTCATTTTTAGGTCTGTTGAGGTTTTCCCTAAACCTGGTGGTTGATAGCTCCTGTCTGCTTCTGGAAGAATATTCCAGAAATAAAGTGGAAGGATTGGAACTGGAGTTATGAATAGTTATTTGACCATAAAAAATCCCTGGGAGGCTGACCTGGAAGGTGTGGCTGTATAGAAGGTAAACATTTGAGAGAATATAAATGGTTTCTTTCTCCCCTGGGGCATCTTCCCTGGGAGGAAGCAAGTGTGTGTGTTCCAGAGAAGCTACTGCTACTAGGCCTCAGCAGGTACCATGTAGTGGGCGCCTGAAAGATGCTACCTATAGAAGGTGAGCTGGAGAAGGAAACTATAACTGTAAAGAATTGCAAGGGAGCTGAATAGGAGCAGACACCTGGGCATTGTGAAGAGGACATTTTGCCCATAGCTCTAGCTACTCATAGGGTCTACGATTTGTCTGCCCCCTCTTATCATTATTATTTTGGAGGCTGCTACTATAGGGCCTAATACTACTGGAACAAGAATATTTTTCAAAAATCTGTCTTCCTGGACCTAGGTGCTATTTGGTTTCCTGTACCCCCAACCCTCCTCTCTGCATTTTGTTCAAGATCTGCAGTAAAAGGTAAAAAAGACCCCTACAATGAGCCTGAATCAGGGTGGGCAACCTACTTCAGAGGTTATTGCTACAATTATGTAATGGCAGTGGTTTTAAGATATTACTCTGTTCTGACAATTGCAAGAATAGAGGGAAAAGGTTTCCAAAAGATAGACTTACCCATTTTCAGAAGCCAGCCCTCTCTCTGTGGCTTCTGAAAGGCAAGTGTGAGCTCCCAGGTATCTTCCTCTTCAGGAAGCCGAAACGGTTCTTTTTTCAGACTTTCATACATTTCCTGTTCAAGGAAGCATAATATTAGTGTTACCACCTTAAAGTGGATACAGGGATTCTTATTTCTTTCAATAGTGTAAAACAAGTCAGCACTTATAGTAGGCATTTTACAGCTGTTTTTTGCCTATGCACAGTCATTTATCTATTGCAAATGAATCTATTGCTACAATGCACCTACCATATTACAGGAGGTACAAGCTGTGATGACACTATGGGTGTAATCCAGTGACTGGAGACAGAAGTCATGGTATATACTTCTCATGGGACAAGAAGAATGGAGTGTGCCTTGGCACTCTTATATTTGTAGAAGTATCATGCTGCTTCTAATAATAAATTGTATGATAAAAGTAAAATTTATTTAGAAATAGTAGTACTTTGAGACACTGACTCAGAACAGTTATATACTGTAGATCAGAAGTTTTGACTGTCTTCTGACTCAATTTTGACATGCTTATTCCAGGCCAGTGACTTAGAAAGTACTAAATTCAGAAGCAGCCAGTATTTTCAGGAGGCCAGCAACGGGAGTCAATGTACATTTCTCAGCACAGGTTTTATTTATGGATATACTGTACATTACATACAATATATACATTACAGTTGTACTTACAGTCAGCAATTCTGTGGGTAGATCACCACCTGGATGTACACCTTTGTGTATGGAAATGAATTGTTGCAGGTCAGGCTTGTTTTTAACGCTTGGGTTGTGCAGACTTGTATTTAGGATGATCAGCGAGAAGGAGACTATATAACAACTATCTGCAAACATAAAAAAAATGAAAATTAGGGAAAGAGCTATTTCAAAACAATTTGTTAGAGTACACAAGCACTATGTTTTACATGCGGTTTGTATAATTTTCCAGTTTTAAAAGTAATATACAGTACCTACTGATTTTAGTATTTAACTAAGCAGAAAACTGTAACATATCTAATTAATAAAAAACATTTTGATAAATGATTATTGTTAACAGTGTTCTAACTGAAAAGAAAATACAAAGTATTGTCTAAAATTTATATACCGGGGATCAGTAAATATCTAATGGTTACTTACTGCTTATCTGTCTAAAAAAACCCTGAACATATGCCTAATGCAGTGTTTCTCAACTCCAGTCCTCATGGACCCCCAACAGGTCATGTTTTCAGGATTTCCATTATTTTGCACAGGTGATTTGATCAGTTTCACTGCCTTAGTAATTACCACAGCTGTTTCATCTGAGGGAAATCCTGAAAACATGACCTGTTGGGGGTCCATGAGGACTGGAGTTGAGAAACACTGGCCTAATGTAACCAGAGGTACCTTCAGCACTCCAAAAAAGTGTTGCTTCCACAATTCCCTCCCCCCCCAAACTGTCTCTCTAATCAGCCGACTTTGACAGTTCTTGTAAGTTTCAAAGACTTGGCCAATCCTGGGATGGGCCTACTAGAAGTAAAAGCATACAGAAAGGGGGCAGGCTGGACTTCTACACTAGGAAGGTGTCCAGACTGGCTAATTAGGGAGGCAGTTGTTTCAGGGAACCTATGGCACTTTTATGAGTATTGAAGGTATGTGCAGACACCTCTAGATGCCCACACTAGAAATTTTTTGGGGGAGACAAGTGTATGTTAAGCTGCCCATACATGTGGTACACTTTAAAGTGTATCTTACGTCATGTTTTGTCT